CCCGCCCCGAAGCCGGCCCATCACGTGGAGCACACGGGGCTTCAGGGTACAGCTCGCCCTGGGGACCCCTCGTCGCCTCCCCCGGGGCGACCCCAACTCCCACACGATCCGCCTCGGGTCGCTCCAGCGGGCAAACCCTCCGCGCAGACCGGCCCGGCGGCCCACACGGCCCCTCGCCGCCTCGGATGTTCCGCTGCCCCGCCCCAGCCCCGCCCCCGCCACGCTTCCCCCGCCGCACCTCGTTTCTTTCCCGCTCACCCCTCCTCTCGGCCAGCTTCTTCCTCCCAGACCCCTCTGCCCCTCTGCTTTTCCTTCAAAACTGCTTCTGATTTAGTCTGTGGCCTGCATGGTGGGTCTTCCCATCCCCGACACATACAGTCCTCGCCACAAACACTACACCACCACGACTTTTGACTTGGGTGTGCATGGGCCAAGGGAGGTAGAGGCACAGCCCGGTAGCCCCCTCATGATTTAATTTTTTTTAGCGTTTGTTTGTTTTTAGTTGGAGTCTCACTCTGTCGCCCAGGTTGGAGTGCAGTGGCACGCTCACGGCCTCCACAGCCTCGACCTGCTGAGCTCAGGTGATCCTTCAGCCTCAGCCTTCCAAATAGCTTTCCAGGCTATAGGCAAGCACCACGACGCCCGGCTACATTTTTTATTTATTGTAGAGATGAGGTCTCCCCATGTTGCCCAGGCTGGCAATCCTCTCACCTCAGCCTCCCAAAGTGCTGGGATTATAGGTGTGAGCCATTGGGTCCACCCTATGATTCACCTTTTTTTTTAGTTGGAGTCTCATTCTGTCGCCCAGACTGGAGTTCAGTGGCATGCTCCTGGCTACCGCAGCCTCGGCCTGCTGGTCTCTGGCGATCCTTTCGCCTCAGGCTTACAAGTAGCCGGAACTACAGGCGCACACTAACACGCCCAGCTAATTTTTTATTTATTGTAGAGACGAGGTCTCACCAAGTTGCCCGGGTGGGTCTCGAACCCGCAGGCTCAGACAATCCACTGGCCCCAGTCTCCCAAAGTGCTAGGATTACAGACCGAGCCACTGAGCCTGGCTATGATTAACTTTTTTTTTTTGAGTCAAGTCTCACTCCGTCACCCAGGCTGGAGTGCAGTGGCACGCTCACGGCCCCCACAACCTTGACCTGCTGGGCTCAGGCAATCCTTCCGCATTAGCCTTCTTATTAGCTAGGACTACAGGTATGCGCCACCATGCCCGGCTAATTTTTTTGATTTATTGTAGAGACAAGGTCTCGCCATGTTTCCCAGGCTGAGGCTTCACTCTTAATAAATCCAGCACTTTGGAAAACTGAGGCACAGCTGGAGATGTGAAGACAAAAAGCCAGAACAGCCTTACATCCTGAGTGGATCCCATTGTCTCAGCCACAAGACTCCTCAGAGGCGGAAGCCTTGCTGAGCTCCACATCCTCCACATGCTAAAAGGTTGGTCCCTCATATCCCTCCAACGGAGGGGGAAGGACTCCCTCCTTTTTTGTTTCTTTTTTTTGAGTTGGAGTCTCACTCTGTCACCCAGGCTGGAGGGTAGTGGCACACTCCCAGCCACCATAGCCTCGACCTGCTGGGCTCCGGCGATCCTTCCGCCTCAACCTTCCAAGTAGCTGGAACTACAGGCGCGCGCTACCACGCCCGGCTAATTTTTTGATTTATTGTAGAGATGAGGTCTCACCAAGTTGCCCAGGTGGGTCTCGAAGCCACAGGCTCAGGCAATTCACTCACCTCAGCCTCCCAAAGCACAGGATTACAGGCTGAGCCACCGAGCCCGGCAACTCCCTCCTTTTTGCTGAACAGTGAGTGGGGTGGGGTGAGGGTCCCTGGGTGCCCCTACAGCAGCACTCAGTGCTGGGGGATGGCCTCGAGTCTGGAGAGGTCCCGGGGAGGGAAGATCCAGTCCAGCTGCCCACCTCCAACTCCCAAGGGGCCCGTCCCCTAGAGGAGTCACAGACACTGATTAACAACTATCAGTGCTAACACCGAGATACAGGGATACAGTAGAGTCCCCAGAGAAACAGACTGTACCCTGAGGAGAGAGGTGGCTTTTCTACTTTGTATTAATAGGGTTCTCCCCAAGTCACTCCAGAAAGGTATCACCAGCCTTCTGGCTCCATGCCCCACAGAGATGACACACATCTTCCCCCACGGCCCTAGCCAAACAGAGGGCAGGAAGATGGGTTTGCGTGGTATTTTTCTAGGCACTGCCCACGGCTTAAGAGTGGCCTCATGTCTGTCCACAACCCCCCGATTCCCGCCCTCATGTTTATCCAGTCTCTCTCTCTTCCTTCTCTAGCCTTCCTCTCCCCTCTTCCTTGGCCCTGGGCCTCCCTCCCCACCTTCCTCTCCCACCTCCGGGCCTGTGGGGGTGGCAGGCCTAGTGGTCAGACAGATCTGCCAGGCATAGCCAGGCTGGCAATACAGTGGCTGCTGTTGTGCGTAAAGCGGGCTGGAAATGGAAGGAAACTGGAAGGAAGTGGTGAGGGTCCCAGGCGAGACTGGGGACGGCTGGTTCCTCTTCCCACCTCTGCTGGGGCCTGGCCAGCTCACGGTGGATGGCAACAGCCAGGGCTGTTATTGTTGGAAAGAAGCCCATCTGGCTCGCGCTGCCTGGGCCTCCAGCCAGCACCCACATGCCTGCGGAGCCACCTCCCCAGCAGAGGTGGATGCTGGGTGCCAGGGCCCTCTGCTGGACAGTCCTGGGAGCCCCAGTGCATATTGGCCTTGCCTGAGTTTTTCTAGCTAAGCCCTACCAGTCCTCTTCATCCTATGCCCAGTCTTGTGGCTCTCTCTTCCTCTCTGGAATCTCTCGGGTCCTTGTCACAGGGGTGGGATGGGGCGGGAAGGGCTGATCCAGCTGCATCCCTACTCCCCAGACTATCAGGGACTCTGGCTTGTCCCAGACTCCCTCCTCCCCTTCACAAGTCCCAAGCATGCCTCACCATCTCATATGCAGTGCTTTCTTGCCCCAGGCCTGTCTTCTCAGCTGTCACCAACAAGGCATCTGTGTTTGCTGGAAGTGTGTTTGCTAGGCCTGGGGGTTGGTTACCAGCATGTCTCATGATGGTGTTCTCAGTTGTGTTGGTGACTATATTTCCATAGCCTTGTGGCAGGACTGGGACTGGGGAGAGGGCCATGAGGCGGTTGCCTGGCGCACAAAATCTAAGGGGGCGCCAAAAAACCTCAGTAATCAAGATAAACTTTTAATGTAACCAAGATACATTTTTTTTTTTTTTTTTTAGCTGGAACCTCACTCTGTCACCCAGGCTGGTGTGCAGAGGCACACTCACAATCACTGCACCCTCGGTCTGCTGGGCTCAGGCGATCCTTCTGTTTCAACCTTCCAAGTAACTGGAACTACAGGCGGACACTACCATGCCCGGCTAATTTTTTGATTTAGAGTAGAGATGAGGACTCCCTAAGTTGCCCAGGTTGGTCTCAAACCCCTGGACTCAGGC